ATGTTGTGCTGTGCTTGGCTGACCGATCTCCATGAACCTAGCGTTCTCGGCAGCCCAGTTCAGGACATCCTGGAGGATCCGGAGGTGTAACCAGCACATGCTGAGCGCATCTCAGGTTTTTAGGACTTGCTTCTGGCTAAGTAGGAGTCTGGAGTGACAGATCAAAGGAGGCAAACAAAGCAGCACTGCCCTGAATTTCCACAAGGCCTGGAGTCCTGCTTTTGAGCATGACTGAGATCCATTCTGGCATCTCCTGATGACAGCAGCTGTTTCGAGAGCAGCATGGTGTTTGAAACCCCAAGAAGTGGGTTTCAGAGACTCTTCATGCTTCATGTGATCGGTGAGCATCTGTACCTGAAGGAACTTTTTGAAAAAGGTTAGGTTTAAAATCTTAATGATCCTGTTAAGAAGCACTTGATACCTTAACAGATATGCTAATCTGCAAGGAACCATGAATACTTCCCTCTTAAAGCTTGGAGCTTTATATGAAATTCTCTGTGCGATGGGTTCATGCAAAAACTATCTGCTTATTTCTAAGATGATTGAGATCAGATTCCTCCTGCAAATTACACAGGTGAATCTGTGTAATCATCAATTCTAGAGGAAACTTCATCTTTTACTGAGCCTGCCTTTTGGAGATCAGTGCTTTAAACCTGGTTTAAATGCAGTTTGATTCAGGGCTTCATTGGAAGTGAGCTGGTTTAGATCATTTTATATAACATCTTAGTTATTGGATGAGCCTGCCATAATTATCTGTTTGCTGTCCAAATTCCTTTTCCCATTCATAATTACTGAAATTTAAGATATCATCAGCTGAAGACTGAATTTTTAGAAATCTCCTTGATTTTTAGCTATTTAAGAATATGGGCGGACCACACGTGCTGGTGTGGCTGGGGGGCGACAGCTTGACAAGAGAAAAACTTGTCAGGGTTTCAGTTGATCGGCAGCTCTGCAGCAGCTTCGGCAGGAGGTTATTAGCAATAACATAATTAGCATCCAAATAATTTGGTGTGTTTCTCGGGGCTCAGTGTGAGCTCCTTGCCGCCTTGCAGGGTGTGCTGCCCTCGCACCACCTAACTGCGAGCACCCGGGCTGGGGAGTGTTTCGTGTTCACCTGGTCCAGAGATAAATGGCTGTACAGAATCAGAGGTTGTGTGTGGTGTGTTTGGGGTGGGGGTTCATTTTGGCTGCTGTTCTTCGGAGAGCATTAAAACCAAAGGAGGGCTTGCATACAGCTTTCTGAAGAGAGAGGCAGAAGTTGGTCATACCTTTGCCTGGCAGTATGCAGCGTTTCCCAGTGTACCGATGAGCGCGTCTAGCTGCGCAAATAGCCAGGTAGCATTTTGGTTCATGAGCTCTTTGATTTTGCTTTGGACACTACCTTGGGAAATCTGGAAGAAGGGAACTTGAATAGTCCCTTAATATTGGCGTCTGGCTGCAATTCCGTGAGGTGGCTGTTCAGCAGAACATGATGCTCTGCGGCCCTTGTGGCCAGCAAGGTGTGTGCAAATGGGCTGTCAGAAACTCGTTTATTTTGTGAAGAGGTTCTATGCCAAAGAGTATCGTTCTGATACAACTCCAAACAGTTTTCTTCCCCATTTTGGTACCTTAGTAGATAGAAGTAGAGGTTTTGGAAGAGGCGG